ATTTAATTTTAATTTACTTATTTTAGTAGATTAGTTTTTTCATAACTTTGTAAAAATCTCAGAATACATTCATTTAAATTATATGTAAACTATATTTTAATAATAATTTAAACATTATAAGAGAAAACAGAATCAAGTTAAATTTCACCCACCCCTTTCCACTATATTGGCAAACTTGTCCTCCAGAGAACAGGTCTACCTGCCCTAGTTCGCTATATTGGTAGCCCTGTCCTCCAGAGAACTAGTCTACCCGCTGCTTTCCACTATATTGATAGACCTGGCCAACAGAGAATAGGTCTACCCACCCCTTTCCACTATTTTGGTAGACCTGGCCTCTGGAGAATGGGTCTACGCACCCCAGTCCACTATATTGGTAGACCAGGCCTCAGACCATCACCCTGTGCTGAGCCTTTGAAAACACACCAGCACTTGAGTGAGGGACACTCTTACAGTCTACTTTGTGTTTTTTAGTGAAATATGACAACTAGCATTACAGGTCAAGTATAACAGAGGAGGAACAATCACTGTCAGAACCCTGCCTAACCTAACAAACAGGAAGTTGCTTAAACCTGCCCAAACTACTTATTGATTTCAAATATTTATATCCTGCTTTTTCCTGTGACTCAAGGCAGCTTACAAATCATACTGAAAAGCCCCGGCCCCATTATGGCCTATGGGAACTATTATAGTCAATGGGCCCCATTAGCTATAATGAAGAATTGATCTGGGGGTATCTGGGGCTTTGGGGCCCCCTGTATTTTTAGGTACAGACACCAAATTTGCAGCATAGCCCCTGGTGCCTCTCCTCAACCCCCCTCCCCAAGTTTAAAAAAAATTGGACCAGGGGATCCAATTCTATGGGCTCCAGAAGGAGGTGCCCCCATCAGTCATTGTTTCCAATAGATGGAAAAATGCCTTGTGGGCTGAAGCAGAAATCCCTGCACTGCTCGTTAAAATTTTATGCGCCAGCATCCCCTAGCACAGTTTAAAGGGAACTATGAGTCCCACCACTAAAACTGGTCCCCACCAGTTGGCAGAGTTTAGATATTCAGTAAAGTGAAGAACAAGCTGTTTAAGTAATAAAGTAGGTTTATTAAGAAGGGAACAAACTTTGCAAGAAAGAGGAGAGAGAAAGAGAAGTCTGTCTAACTAAGAGACAGCCAGTAACTAACAGTTCTCAACAGGAGCAGGGAAAACCCCAATTGAGCCAATCAGGAGGAGGAATGAGATTATTTGAAAATAGTAAGAAATCCCTAATCTCACTATGCTAACTAATTGTCCTCTCTGCTGCCCCCTGCAGGATGTTCTTGTCATCTTCTTTATCTGTGCACGATAGACCTTGCATATTCCAACACAGTTAGTTAAAGTTGCAGCTCCAGTTGTGCTTATATTCATTCATGTAATAAGGAACTCTTGCGAGGTGCTCTGGTCTGGTCTGACTTTCACTTTTCCAGTTCCATTCTCCTCAGACTCCTCAGACAGTTCTGTCCTTTCTCCTTTGCTCCCTCTTACACTTCGAGCTGACACACAGAAGCACTTGTTTTCAAATCCCTCTCCAAAACCTGACTTTCCATGAAGGCTTTCACCCAGCTCAGGGCCCTTCTTCACACACTACAGAGGACACAGGTTGTCAAGCTGGAAAAATGGCAGAGGCTTCTCCATTATAAATCTTTCCCCAAAACAATGGGAAACCAGGCAACAATTCCGTGTGGCATTATGAGAGGCTTTGAGAAAATGAGTTGACAAAACCGGGGAATTTTCAATGGTGTATAGAAAAATCTCCTCTCAATTAAAGCGTGTCCTTTTACCTCAGCCTCCAGAGGGGGGTTACAAGAGAGTCAGATAGATGGACAGGCAAACTGTGGGGAATCTGCCTCTATCCCTTTGATGTGTAGACTGATACATTCTTAGGGAGCAATTTCCTCTCTTCCGACCTCACACTTCCTCTCACTCACACACACAAAGAAGGAGCACATTTTCCCTCCATCTTTGAACAATGGATGCAAAGCCATGCTTCCCTGCATCCTTACCCATCCTAGGTAGTTAGAATAAATTCTACTCCTGTCTCTCATCTATACTGTCTAGAGTGGAGTTTTATATAATAAAGAGCTCTTGTTAGTTTTAAACCTGACTACTTGCTCTGTGTAAATTCTTAAGTCTGCTAGCATACTTAGTACCTAAGTTTCCTGTGTGGAAAGCCTGGTTCACTCTGCTACAATGATAGAGATTCCTGGCTGTACAAAATCAGAAAATCCAACAAAATGCAAGAATCCATCCTGCACATTACGCACATTTCTTCTCCAGATGGTCACACCTTTTAGGAAGGTATAAAGAACTCAAAACAATAATTACAAAAATGTCCACTGAGGTCCAGCGGTATGCTCATCTACTGAAAATCTAAGGTTAACTGAGGAGTTGGGATCATTTAACAGAAAAAGAGGGGCAGGAGCTCATTAGCATAACCCATTAGCATAACTTATTTGCATATGCCACACCCCCTGACATCACCAGAAGTGTGTCAGAAGGCAACACCCACCTCTCAGGCTCAACCCCCAAAATCTCCAGGTATTTCCCAACTCAGATTCAAACCTTGGTCTCCCAAATCCTTGTCAGGAGCACTAACCACTACACAACATTTCATGGGGCAGCGGCTGTTGAGCAGTAGCAAGCAGCTGGGCCTGCATGAGTTATGCAAGTTGCATGGTGCCAAGTTGTCCAGTGGCTGCTGTCAGGCCTGACATGTTCTCTCCCCCTACATTTTACTGACAGAAACAAATGTTTGAAGGCTGGAAATACTGCTGTGGTTGACAAACAATGGCCACTGAGAAAATTCCTTTCATATAGCTACAGGTGCTGCTTCTATTATGGGTGCGGGTTGACCCAATGTATTTTCAGCTGCCATCGATGATGGATGGCAGTTGGCTAGGTACTTCCCTACTGGTCCAAATCTTCCATAGCTAACAACGTTTTCTCATGAAGATGTTTTTAGCTGACAAAATCCCCCCGGAGACCTCAGCGGGAGTCTGCAGTCTGGCCGTGAGCACTTGGGAGCTCCTAGTGTCGTCGGCCTTGAACGCTTGCTCGCTGCCTCTCCTAAGTAATGCGGGAGAGAGGGAGTAAACCCGCCCCTTCCCCTTCCATCACTGTTTACTTGTTTCTCCCGGAACGCCAGTCCTGCTCGGAATGACCCCTGCTGAGGAGTACTTACTCACTGAGACATCAGTCAAATATATGCTTACCTTGCATGCGTTCATTCTGTCAGTAGGACAAGAACGGGTCTGCTTCAGAGATCTCTTGGAAATGCCATACCTAGGCAACAAAGTGAGTACAACAGGTTAGTTCCTGCTAATACCAAAATCTGTCTTCTGTTTCTATAACTGTTCATACTTTTGGTTCAGGTGCGTAGCCATGTTGGTCTGAAGCAACAGAACAAAGTATGAGCCCAGCGACACCTTTAAGACCGACAAAGTTTAATTCTGGGTATAAGCGTCCATGTGCATGCACACTTCTTCACTTTCAGCACATGAACGCTTATACCCAGAGTTAAACTTGGTTGGTCTTAAAGGTGCCACTGGACTCATACTTTGTTCTGTTCTTACTCTGGTTAAATGTTCTCACCATATATGTAAGAAGTATCTATTTGATATCTGTCCCCCTTGACAAGCTCCACCACCTGGGTCTTACCGTCTGGCAGCCTCAGGGCGCCTGGCAACCCCTGTGGTCCTGGGTGAGGGGACTAGAATAGATGGCCACTTCCCAGCCAATGAAGCTGGGACAGCTGCTCAGATTCCTTCCCCAATACAGAAACCAAAAGAGAAAGGGACCTGACCTGGGTCAGAGCATACCTCAGAGGCACAGCGCTCCCCTCCCCCATCTTTCAGTCGACCGTCCTGCTGTTCCCGCTACATAAAATCGCATGCACCCTAATGGCTGCTCCCGGTCACACCATGTTCTGGGGCCGAGTGAGGCAAGGGCAATGAGACAGCACGTATGACTCTGAACTTTCGTGCACCAGGACAAAAGCCTTAATAGTACAGAGTGTCATCTGATTATTAAACAAGTCCAGCTCAAGAACACCTCGCACCCCCACTGGCAACACCATCTGGCTTTCCTTGGGGGAGAAAGGGGGTGTAAGAGGGGGGGCATCTCCAGCCCCAAAGGAAATAAAACGGGAGGCTGCAGACCTTTCCCTCCCTGCCCTTGGCTCTCACTGCCCTTTCTTCCACATCCCCCAATTCCTCCCTAATTCCTCTTTCTTTAGTTAATCCCTTAAAACAGGAGTAAAACTTTAACTGAATGAGCTGCTTACTGTTTTACATAAATAATCCGCCCAAAGACTCAGCAAATACAGGACGCTTTTGCCGGTAGGGAACAGGGGGAATGAATAAGAATTTATGCCTTGAAGACAGTGGGTACAGAGGACTCCCCCACCCCACGCTGGTGACTCGGAGTTGCTTACAAACTTTTCAGCTTTCACTGCAGAGTGGACTTCTCATGTAGAACTCAGAGTAAACGCTAAGAGAACATCCCCCAAAGAGGCTCGGTTAGCACAAGGTAGGAGGGTGAGAGGAAAGGCTCTCAGACTCCTGGCAAGCATATGGCACGGTCCCCAGATTGGCAGAAAACCCAAAGCTTCCTGCGTGGACCATTTGATCCACTTTTGACCCAAGGAGATCCTGCCGTCTAACTGAAAGCAGTCAATTAGGTAAATCAGGACACTCTCTTTGGCTAAGCAATTTCTTCGCCTCCTTTGAGAAACCACAGCGAGAGATCCACTGTATCCAAAGGTGCTCTGTGGTTCTGCATTGCGTTGCAGTCCAAGTCCTACTACTGAAATCTGTTCAGTTCCAGCAGCCTTAAGTTAACTAGTCTCATTTTCCCTTCTTCCACACTGCTCTCTTTATGAAGAGGGAGTTTATCTTTTTTTGGTTTAGAAAGGAGTCAATAAGGACTTTTTTTTATCCTCCTGTCTGATTTCTCCTTGGGGACTTGCAGACACGATGACTTTCGCTGAATTCCTGCAGCAAGTTGGCGGCATGGGCCGTTTCCAGTTTATCCACACGGCGCTACTCATTATTCCTGTCCTTTTGATGGCCAGCCACAACCTTCTCCAGAACTTCACAGCTGCCATCCCAGGACATCACTGCCGGGTCCACGCCGCCGCCAATGCCAGTGGGCATCCGAATGCCACTCATTTGCTAGAAGCCAGTGACCTTCTCAAGGTTGGCATCCCCGTGGACAGCAACCAGCAACTGGAAAAATGTCAGCGCTTTGTGGACACCCAATGGCATCTCCTCAACCCCAACAGTACGGAGGCAAACAAGACCGAGATGACTACTGAGCCTTGTGCTGATGGATGGGTATACAACAGGACCCTGTATTCTTCCACAATCATCATTGAGGTGAGATGTAATAGGCAGAAATATGTTTCCAGGAAAAGCCAGCTGGAAGGGGTAGGTGGCTGGAGATGGGCACGCTATATCACTGCAGGCAAGTGATTTCTCCAAGTGGCTTCCAGTGCCAGTGTAGTGCTTAGTGTTTCTATTTAGGACCTAGCAGACTCTGAGTTTGAATCCCCATGGAGCCATGAGGCTCACACCACTTGAATTTGGGTCAGCAACTTGCTCCCAGCCTGAGCTAACTCACTGGCCCTTTGTGAGGATGAAAGGTGAGGGGATGATCACGTATGTCTTTCTGACACTCTTGGAGGAAGGGTGGGGTTAATGTGTGTAGACAGAAATGCCAGGATTCAGCTCTGAACATGTACTTCTGAGCATATGCAGAGAGCCTTCTCTCCCATTTTCTCAACAAGACATCAGCAGCTTGGGGGAGGGGCTATGGCTCAGTGGTAGAGTGTTTGCTTTACGTACAGAAGGTCCCAGGTTCATCTCCAAGTTAAAAGGACCAGGTAGGAGGTGATGTGAAAGAGTTCTACCTGAAACCCTGGAGAACCACTGACAGTCTGAGTAGACAATACTGACCTCGCTGGACCTATAATCCGATTCAGTATAAGGCAGCTTCATGTGTTCATGTAACTGCCTACTTGTATCAAATACATACCCACTGCTGGGGTATACTTTTTGTTTACTCTCGGAACATACTGCAAATAAACCGGTATCCTTCTTGTGCTTTTCAAGTTTCCCTCACCCTTGATGGGTTTTATTTTTCAGCCATACCAAGCCCTCAGTGCAACGGACAAAGCATAGAAACATAACCATTGATTGATTGATTTGCGGTACTGTGTGTCCTTTTCCCAAAGGAGTTATGGTATGGCCTCTAAAGAATAAAATATAAGCTCCGTGGGAGATCTTGAGCCCCTAACTCATTCCAGCCTAGCCTATTTCTCAGGGCTGTTGTGAGAATGCAGTGGAGGAAAGGGAGAACCATGCAACTCGAAGGGAAGGGCAGGATAAAAATATAATAAATCTGTGTCCAGAAATCCAGAGCCTGTAATCCTGCATGAGAAGAGCCTTCCTGGATCAGATGCCAGGGGTCATTTGGGGGGGGGGATGCGGGGGGACGCCATCCCCCCGGGTGAGGTGTGGGAGGGCGGGGCCTGGAGCTCCCTGCTGGTGCCCGCTGAAGGTCGCCGCCGGCTTTGGGGAGGACACACTTCCGGTGATGTCAGGGGGTGTGGCATATGCTAATGAGTTATGCTAATGAGTCCCCCTAGCTCTTTTTCTACGAAATGACCCCTGATCAGATCCACCTGGATTTTGGAACTTTAGAACAGGGGTTCCCAACCTTTTTGAGCCTGCAAGCACCTTCAGAATTCTGACACAGGGTGGTGGGCACAACCAGCAAAATGGCTGCTGCAGGAGGCGGAGCTAACCACAAAATGTCAGGAACTGACTTTATGCATAACTGTAATAGTAGCTCTTCAGCATTTCAGGGAGAAGTTATGCTTAACAGGATGCCTTGAACATATTGTTTGAAAGTATTTTCTGGCTTACATACAGCTTACCTTCATTCATGCAGTGAAGATCCTTGTGCTCTGGTGGCAGCTACTACTGAAAGCAATGTTTCTTTGGAATCTAAATAGCCAATCAGATAACCTGCTAGGCAAAAGCCTCCCCGGCCCCTCCCTCTTTCTGAAAGCATTTGACCAGCACTAGGGTTGCCACGTCCCCCCGGCCATTGGCAGGGGATGGGGTGGGAGGGTGGCCAGATCGATGTTGGGAGACTCCTGGAGATTTGGGGATGGAGCCTGGGGAGGACAGGGACCTCAGTGGGGTACAATGCCATAGAGTTCATCCTCCAAAGTATCCTTTTTCTCCAGGGGAACTGACCCCTGCAGTCTGGAGATGAGCTGTAATTCCAGGGGATCCCCAGGTCCCACCTGGAGGCTGGCATCCCTAGGAGGCACCAAGGCACCTATAGATGCCAGGCTGGGGACCCTCTGCTTTGCAAGAATCAGAGCAGCTCACTTGGTGGTTCACCAGCAGATCACAATTCACCTCCAGAAGAGGACTGCAGCATAACAAGAGACAGCTGCTTTAAATGCGGAAGGCCTCAGGTGAAATCCCTGGGATTTCCAGGTCTCTGTCAGTAGTAGCAGATATTAGCAAGGATCCCTCTCAGCCTGAGGCCCTGGAAAGCTCCCGCCTCCCGCCAGCCAGGCTATAGACAGCACTGAGCAAGATGGACTCCGAGTAAGGCCGCTTCATCTGTTCATAGACCTTCTGCGCTTGCTTGGTCCTGGCAAACATGTATCTTTTGCCCCTTTATAGGAAGCAGCATGCAGCACTATGCAAAGCAATGGGGCTGAACATTGTGATCTGATGGTTTTTTAAATTACTGAGCTTCTTTGTAGACACCTTTTGGGACCGACTGTAGAATTTGCCACACTTCTAAAGACCTCTTAATGCACACCCTGCCCCAGTCACATGGGGTCTCGATGGTCACAATTTGGTTTGCAGGTTTTCTTCTAGGAGTGCCAGCCTCCAGGAGGGGCCTGGGGAACTCCCGTCATTACAGCCCATCTCCAGACTATAGAGATTAACTCCCTTGGAGAAAATGGATGCTTTGGACTCTTGCATGGTCCATTATAATTCTGTTATGGGTGTCAAGAATGAAATGGGATTTGTTTCAATTTTGCAACAAAGGGATGAGAGCGCGCGATTTGGGTTGCCAATTCCTCCCTGGCCACTGGCAGGGAATGGGGCGTAGGGTTCCCAGATCCAGGATAGGAAACTTCCAGAGGTTTGGGGATGGAGCCTGGGGAGGACAGTGACCTCAGTGGGGGTTCAATGGCATAGAGTCCGCCCTCCAAAGCATCCATTTTCCCCAGGGGAACTAGTCTCTGTAGTCTGGAGATGAGATGTAATTCTGGGGCAGTGGTGGCGAACCTATGGCACGGGTGCCAAAGGTGGCACTCAGAGCCCTCTCTGTGAGCACATGTGCCATCGCCCCAGCCAGGCCCAGACCATCATTAAAGTGTCGAATTCTCTGCCAAATAATTTTAAATAAATGAAAGCATTTGGAATTGCTTTCCTTACTTTGTTTGAATCATCTTAAGTTAATGTATGAGTTGTTTTTTCTAAAGTAAAACCTCAGTATTCAAAATTGCTGTGTTGGCTCTTTGCGATAAATAAGTGGGTTTTGGGTCGCAGTTTGGGCACTCGGTCTCTAAAAGGTTCGTCATCACTGTTCTGGGGCATCCCCAGGTCCCACCTGGAAGCCGGCATCCCTAGCAGGTGAGCAATTTCAGGATGGGGGCAGGTGGGCAGGATTTGGATATAGATCCAGCATCCAGGCTTGCATCCTACCATTCTCTCAGCAAAGCTGGAAGCCTCCCTTCAGCCCAAGGGCAGTTCGATCAGAGGACGGTCCCTTATCCGGGAAGAAGGCCTTGCTGAGTGGCATGAGAGGATACATCCTGCTCTCCCTAGACCACGTCCATTGCAATATACCAGAACTCCCTTAGTCCATCAGAGCTAGCTAGGGCCATGTCAGCCAGCGTCCCACTTCCATCCACATGCCTCTGTGAAACCCACAAGCTGGGCAGAACCCCCCCCCCACACGCTAACATCCCTCGGCTCTGGTATCCAACATGGCCACAAAAAGGGTAAGCAGCTATGTTGGCCCTTTGGAACAAATCTGAGGCTACCAGCTGCGTAATCCCTTTTACTTGGACCAACTCAAACACTGCGAAAGTGGTGAATGAGCTTTTTGAGCTCCACTGAACTCTTCATCAGGCTCGCTGTTGAGCTGCAGGGCTGGGGAAGAGGCAACGAAAGGGAAGGAGAGGAAAAACAGTCTTCCTTTTTAACAGTCGTCACTAACAACTGTCAATAGTCCTATCCCAGTCTTCCATACATTTGTCCAGTCCTATAAGAAACTTGGAGCTGCGGTGGCTCAAGTGGTTAAGACGCTGAACTGCAGGCTGTGGAAGGGCAGTAGTTCAGCAGTTCAAGACCCGGGTGCCGCATGACGGAGTGAGCTCCCATCTCTAGCTCCAGCTCCTGCCAATTTAGCAGTTTGAAAGCAAGAAATTGCAAGTAGATAAATAGGTACCACTTCAGTGGGAAGGGAACAGTGTTCCGTGCACCTTGGTGTTTAGTCATGCCGGCCACATGACCACGGAAACGTCTTTGGACAGCGCTGGCTCTTCGGCTTTGAAACGGAGATGAGCACCGCAGCCCTAGAGTCGGACTCGACTGGCTTTCAAGCAAGGGAACCTTTACCTTTTTTATCAGAAACTGGTAGGATGACACAGGGATGCCAACCTCCAGGTTGGGCCTGGAGTTCTCCAAGGATTACAACTGACCTCCAGACGACAGAGAGCAGTTCTCCCGGAGATAAATGGCAGGCTTGGAGGGCAGACTCTATGGAATGCCACAGATTCTAGGTGAAATCCCTCCCCAGATCCCTCTCCGCACAGGCGCACCACCCCCAAATCTCTAGGGATTTCCCAGGCTGGAGCTGGCATCCCTGCTTAATGAAGTCCTGTGGGTTGTAGCTTCCTGGTCTCCCCTGTGTCATTTGCGGTGACTGCTCTTTTGTCAAGTGCGAAGGAGAGCAGGGAAGAAGTGGCGGCTGCAGCCTGAAGATATTTCCAGCAAACAAGTGGGTTAAAGCCGCAAGAGCAACAGGGGGGTGTTTGCGTTTGGTGGGTAAACAGGCAGTAATTGACTAGCCCCTGCTGCCATCACCTCCACCCCCCTACCATGTTCTCCAAAGGATCTTGCTGGGAACAGAAGATTTCCAAACCAGTGGGGGACGCTGCTGGCAAAGATCCTGAGGGAAGGAGCAGCTGAGTTCTCTGCTGAGAGCAAAAATGTTGTTGTACATTTCCCCACCCCACCCCACCCGCCAAGTCCTGTGCATGATTGGTGTAACAATGTAAGACTCAGCTGTAAAATCAGGAGTCTCGCCTATGCCATGAGTTCATCAGGTGACC